ATGTGTTGATTAGGGGAAAGATGTCTTTGAGCAGCCTGGTCGGGATGGGGTCCAGGAGACATGTTGATGATTTAGATGAAGCAATTGTTGAGGTCAACTCAGAGAGATCTATAGGGGAGAAGTAGTCCAAGTATAAATGAGGTCTTACAGATGTTTCTAAAGCCATTGTAGTAGATGGCACATCTGCGAGAGCTGTAGGAGTGGTCCGACCAATTTTTTCTCTAATAGTTGTGATTTTATTTGTAAAGAAGCTCATGAAGTCATTGCTGCTGAGATCTAAGGGAATGTTAAGCTCAACAGCACTGTGGCTCTTTGTCAGCCTGGCTACAGTGCTGAAAAGAAACCTGGGGTTGTTCTTATTTTCCTCAATCAGTGATGAATAAAATGTGGTTCTGGCACTATGAAGGGCTTTCTTATATGTTATTAAACTATCTTTCCAGGCTATGAAAAACTCTTCTGACTTAGTGGAGCGCCACCTCCTGTCCATTTTTCGTGATGCCTGCTCAGGAAGCGGCTAGTTTGGGCTGAACTACTGTATGTCTAGGAGGCTCTGCACTGGCTACATGGGCCTGGCTAGCTGGGCTGTTTTCCATGGTGTGGAGCCGCACTTCTAAGTCTGTGAGCCTCGCCTCCGATGCTGCTAGCATCTGACATTTATTACAAGTACCATTATCGCTAAAGGAGGTAGAGGAATAACTGAACATGCGACACTCTGAGCAAGAAAAAGAAGGAGAGGAAGAGGGGGAAGCCATTGCTCTCAGTAAAGTTACTAGCTTAGCTAGCTTCTGAGCTAGCTGACCTAAAGTAGCAAGTTAAATTTGGTAGTTATGCCCATTTGGAGCTTCTGCAACAACTAAAATGTTTCAAACATAAAACAATAAAAATCAAAAGGATAGACTTAAATGAAACTAGATAAAATGAAAAGCATATAATGACAAATAATACAGAAGTTCAGCTCTTTTGAGTCATATGAGGATTCTGAGTTTTCATGTTGCTGCTGGATCTGATTCAGAAAAGTCAGAACTCTAGTGCAGGTCGAACAGAAGATGTGGACCTGCTGGAATAATGTACATGAAAGTCAGTGAAGCAAAAGTTAGAATCTTTTCATAAGCATTCAATGTAACATTTCTGCCCTTTGCTTCTTATGTGAATAATTCAAATCAGTCCTGTTATGTTCAAAACTAAGTTCTGCAACAGAATAAAATAAGCCATGATTTTAATCTAAATTAATCCTGAATGGTGCAGCCCACCCACAGACACAGGCAGAGGAGGAGGGAGATGTGCAGGCGTTGCCATGACAATAGGCTTCATGGTACTTTCCCAGACTGTTTTTCACTCGCCTCTACATAAAATATGATCAACCACACACAGTGTAATGTCATTTGTACTGTATTGAAAATAGTGTAAAGAAAAAGTTGCTGGTTGAGCAAACGACCAAGAATTCCTTAAAGAAGCTTTAATCATCAAGAGAAAAAAGTTTGATTTGGTCTGTAAAACCTCTTTCAACATTAAAAGGCTGATGAACGTTCCTGGAAAAGTATTTTCCACACAATTACAGATGAACATTATTTCAAGCTTAGACTTTACAATGATCAGGAAAAGAGTGTAGCATTAATTACTAGCAAAGACTTAGTTAGCAAGGTGTCCAAGCTTCTTCACACATCACAGTTACTGTAGTTTCTTGGACAATGTTTGGAAAGAGACTTTGTCTGTTTGATACATGGGTTGTATTTATTTCTTTTCACTTCACAAAACAATAAAATATGTAATTTCAGCACTTTAACACTCAGAACATTATGTAGATGGAGACCGGTTCAGGTCCTTGTATTATTTCAGCTCAAGGTTTGGAGAAGGAATGGCGAATATTTATTTGTTTTTAGAAATCGAGTGTCACAAATAATGTTTTGTATTATTTTGTAGTTTGCTGTGCTGTTCATCGGTTATCTCGTTCTTCATCAGTTGCCTTCAGATTTGTTCCTTATATAAAGTCCAAATGATTTCCAACTATCTATTGGTGCCTATTTATATATATTTAAGTGGCTTTTAGTAGGCTTGTACCATTGTCAGGTCATTCTGAGTGCTCCCCTACTGCAGTCATTTACAGTTAATGGATATATAATGTTTTTGAATAGTACTCTGATGGGAAAGTGTTGATGTTCACCTTGACACACCACCACTGTGTAGGCCAGTTGGTGCTACTGAGCAATCAGCTCAAACACCTCTGTTCCCTCCTGATGGTAGTTTTAGGAAAGGAAAGTTGTTGTTTGTGTCCAGAGTTCATCCAGTCTCTTGTCAGTTCAGTGATGCAGTGAATCACTGGTTTACCCTACTTGTGCTTTTGCTCTGGTAGCTGTGAACACAGGTCATTAAGGTCATCTCCTAATAAGAAATGAGAAACCATTACACACTGTGTAGCACAGGACAGGTGTAGTGGGAGTACTGTGGTTAGGTTTGGCACCACCTTGTGGAGAAGGAGGACACTGCAGAAGCTGGCTTGTTGGTTCTCTCTCTGTGTGTATGTGTGCGTGTGTGTGGCAGCAGCTGTCACAGTCAGGTGGAATCCTAAACCTTGATACATAATGGTGCCACTGAAACCCTTCATCACTTCAATGTGTCCCTTTGGATCCTCTGAGGTTCAAGCATCAGGTCACATACTTGGCGCTTTTGTACACAAAGGTATTTTTTAAAATCACTATCAGTAAGACTTCAAATTGCTTTGGGGAGTGGGCATCAGTGAAAAATCAGGAGATCAGTATTTCTGGGGCATGAGAACCTTAGAATGAATGTACACACATGGATAGCAACTATAACTGTACAGCACGATATTAAAAAAACAATACAAGGCTGCCCCAACAAATTAGGCATCCAATTCAAACAAAACAACAGGACAAAGATAAAGAAAGTGAAGTGTTAGATGGATGGAGTCGTACTGTAGGTTTTTCTGTGAGTCAATGGGGAGCAGGTGGCACATTAGTGACATCTGCTAAGCTCGGCTGATCTCTCTCTGTGCTCATGAGTGTTTGGTTAATGGCTAGATAACCAGGTGTGACGTGGCCTGTTGGGAAGCAGGTTGCGGCTTTTGGTAATTAGGGGTCTGTTGAGAGGCTGAGTAACAGGAAGAGAAGTTACAACTCCAACTAAAGACTAAGGGAAAATAAAGGAAGGTAGCGAGGGATTCACGTGAGGTGTGGAGCTTGTTTCTGCATTAGATACGCACTTTGTCATCTTCCTGTCCTTTTAATTCAGGAGTCCTGAGCATTGGAAAACAGAGGTACCACAGTACTGTAGTTAATGTTTCACAGATGTACCTGAAAAGGCACATTATTCTACCTTAAGGGGCAGTGCACAGGCCTAATAACCAAATATGAAAGCATTATGGATATGTATGGAGTTGAATCAAAAGTGCTGAATGTTCCTACTTTAAAGATGTCAAGTTGTCTTTAGGAGGTCAAGTCTCTCAGGGCCATCGAGTTCTACCCAAGTCACAAACTCTGAGTTTACAGCTTTGCAACATTATCTCTGCCTGCACAGATTATTTTAGGAGCAACAAGGATGACAGAGCATAAAGTAACTTCAGCAAAGAGGGAAACAGGCATCGCTCTGGATTTCTTAATATTCCTGATTGATTATATCCTTGTCTGAAGGTTCATCTTGGTCACTTGGTGCACATAGTGATTTTGATGATCAGAAAATTGTATCAAAATTCACTTGTTCATGCTTGTGGTTTAGCAAAAGCGACTTTTTAGCCCAAAGGTTTGTTCTACCTTTTCCTGGAAATGTGGTACCCCACTTGTGTTTGTCCTCTGTAAAACAATGTCCTGTGGCTGCAGCAATTAAACCAGTGTGTGCTAACTAAGGTGTTATGCAAGAGGATGTTTTCATGCTGCCAGGTCACCTTGTGAGTGTTCAAGTCATGTTCTTGACTGTGACTGTAGCTGTTGCTGCTGTTATGTAGGCCAGCAGCACCCCGAGGGGAAACACATGGAAAGAGCATTACATAAATTAGAGGAATTAGCTTTCACTCTGTTCTTCGTGTTGTAATTGAAATACAGAGAGGAATTGATATAACAGCAAACTCACATGGTTTTAGCATAATCGTGTGTGTGTGTGTGTGTGTGTGTGTGAGACATAAGGCTGTTCTGATTCTGTTGGAACTGTATGGCTACGGTTTGGCCAGATTTAGCAGATGAGAGTGAAGCAACACGAGTACACACAATTTCAATCAGTCAATCAAAATGTATTCATATAGAACATTTAAAACAACACTAGGTTAAAACAAAGTGAACAATAACAACGATCTAATATATTGATGCACAGTTAGAACAGATACAAAAATACTGCACAAATCAAAAAGAACAAATTGTAATAAAACATCTACAATGTGCGTAATAACTCTCATACTGAATGAATAAAGACTTTATAGTGAGCAGACAGCAAGTTAACTTTTGTGGGTGTAACAAGGTCAAGCAAGAATCTAAAAGGAGACAAAAGGGTAGCTAGAGAGAAAGACAAGAAAAAGAAATGAAGACATTTATGGATGAATAGTAGCTAGGGGTGAATGGAATGAGTAATGAGAACAACAATGAGAAGGACAGAAGGGTCTGTGAGCTTTTCAGGTGAGCGAGCCACCAGCCTAGCCGTCTGGTTAAACAGCTGGGGGCCAGATAACAGGCAGCTGGCCGGTGGCAGTGTAGTGCCAGTTGAGAGGGGATTACAGGTTCAGGTAGCTCTGGTTCGGCTGAGATTTGACCCAGAACAGATTTTGTGGCGATGGAAAAGGAGACTACATTTGTATGAAAAAGCGTGGATACTCCAGGGCAAATTGGTTTCTAGAGCATATCCTTTTTCCTGCCTTCTCACATGCTCCGTCCTTACACCCCTCACTTGCCTTCCCCCTGTTTCTGAGCCTAAACACACTGGTCAAGTGTCTGGTTTCACTCGACCTCCCATGTTATGGTTCACTGAAAACAATCAATTATTCTCAGAAATGGGTACCCCAGAGTGGCGGCTCTTAATCCTTTTCAGCTTGAGATCCAAATTGAGTACATTTAGGAATCTTGAAGTCCAAATTCATTAGAACATGTTAGTGCTCTTAACCTGTGGGCAGTCTGCAAACCCTGCACAAGGCCCTGGCTTAACACTCAGACCAAATTAAATCTCCGTGCCCAGAATGAAGTTCACTTTTACATGCATATGTGGACATAAACGCTTGTACATTCTGCCCACACACTGCACAAACACACTGTGTTCTTGGAAGTTAGCAGGCATCTGCCCTGTGAGATTCATGTGAGCTTGTTTGATCTGAAACCTTTGTTTATTCATAGCTTTTTCTTCTTATTCCTGGGGGGCTGACTCGAAAAACGACTTCTTCAATCAGGAAACTGTTGCAAAATCAGGCTTCACAAAGTCAAACAATGACCACGTGGCCTGCTTGAATGTTCTTATGTAGCTGGACACAGTGTTGATATAGATTGGGCAATGCTCTGGCCTTTTCTTTGAGTGGACAGGTAAAAATGTTTTTTGTCCTGTTGTTAAATTGTGACCTACTTTTTGTACCCTTAGGGCTGTTTCCATCTAAGAAAGGATGATATGTATTCCTGAGGTTTTCAAACTAACGGGGAAGGTGCGGAGGATGTTGTACATGAGCACGCTGCTCTTCTGTAAACAAAAGGAAATGAATTATTGTAGTTTAACCAAGAGCAGTTGTCCACATGCACCTTTATGTCAACACACTCTTCTCCCCTTGACAATGAAATGAGAGTTTACATTTTTTCCCACACTCTCATCAAGACTCCAGTAAAATAAGTAAGATGGGTTAAAATTTGTCTTCAAAGGTAATTTGAAGTTATTTGATCATTGGGGAACCCCCCACCCCAAAAAAGGTGAGTCATTGTCCAGGTTGCTACAAGGAAAGCAGTGCTACAGCCCTTTTGACAGAGATCATGGCAAGCTGCTGGTGTTTTCACCCTTCTTCCAGGTGACTGTTTTGATTTAAGCCTCTTTTACACTAAACACAAAAAGCTGCCCACTGTGTTCGTTTTAGCTGCTGGTGTCTTGCTACCAGAGGCGTGATGCTTATCATGACATCTGATTCTCGTTGAAGCCGCTCCCTCTCCTCGTTCAACCTCTAGCTTTCTCTTTCACACACACGGACCTCCAACCCCCCCCATTTCACCTTGCCCTGTTTATACAGGAGGTGGGGCGAGCGCGTCTTGGCAAAAGTACTTCCTGTCGTGGCGGTGTTTTGGAGGGTCAGTGTAAAGGTCGTTGCATACTTGAGGTGAACTTCATGTGCAATTTTCTCGCTCATCATGAATAATTTTCAAACCAATATTCTGTCAGTGAACACATGCACATCACTGATATAATATCGTTATTATTTTTCTGCCCCAAGGTTGTTGTTGTTTTTTTTTTTTTTTTAATTCAACTTTTCTCTGGGAACAGGAACACATGGGGCCAATCATTATGCAGCTCAGAAGACATGGCCTTGCCTTGTGAGCTTGACTAATAAAGGTCATCACATGTTTTGCCCCAGGAGGAAACCAATGACCAGAGAATAAATATACTCACTGAAGAAAGAAATGTGCGGTAGAGGCTTATGATACTTCACAGAACAACTTCAGCCATTCAAGACAAGGCTGCTCTTGGGCTTTATCTGTAGGTATACATGAGGCCAAGCTGACTGTCTCCCACATCTCAGGCTGAGCCTACGACCTCTCTGCCTGGTGCCTCTGTCCTAGTTTGTTTCTGAGAGAAAGGATTCAGCCCAGTGAAAGCGTCTGTTGTTGCCAGTGTTAGGAGAGTAATGAAAATGCCTCAAACACAAGAAGACCTTTCCATCCAGCTGACATTTGGTGAGAGGCAGGGTACCCCTGGACAGGTTTCTAATCTTTCACAGTGCTGACACATAAAGACACACAACTATTCACACCTAAGAGCAATTTAGAATTGCCACTTAACCTAAGGAGTCTTTGGCAAGTGAATGGAAACCTGAGAACCCAGAGGAAACCCAAGCATGTTGAGGACAAGCAAACTCCTCACAGAAAGGCCCCAGCAGGCCAGCTTGTCTGAACCCAACCCTCTTACTTTGTACCAGGTCAGAACTAATGTACTCTCCAGAAATCGCACATGCAGTTGCAGAGTTGAACCTACAGTTACCCAGAACACTCATCTCTGTGTAGGTTTGCAGAGATGATTACATGCATCTTCAGACAAACATAATTCCAGCATAAGCTGAACTTCCCAGGTTTGATTACTGTGGAACCTCATTGCTGCCATGTGAGAAAATCTGTCTGGAAGCCTCGTCGGGCAAATGGTACAGTTAGCAGAGACGAGAACTGCAGTGCAGAGGAAACTGGGTATTCCAAAGTTGGAGGAAGAGGAGTTAGATTTTCTGAACCCAGAATATTGAATTGTCTTTCCTGTCTTTGTGTTTCTGCAGCATCTTATTTGCAGACATTGAGGGTTTCACCAGTCTGGCATCCCAGTGCACAGCGCAGGAGTTGGTGATGACTCTCAATGAACTTTTCGCTCGCTTTGACAAGCTGGCAGCGGTAAGGAGTCAATCACATGCATCTGTATGTAAGACATACAAAGTGTGCTAATATTTTAATTTGAGTATGTTATGGAACTAAATAAGTCAAGAATACAATTTAATAAAACTCAGTGCTCATAAAGGGCTCAGTGCATTCATAAAGGTCTCCACAGCAAATGGCAAAGCAAAACAAGAGCACTCCCTGCTTATGTCAAAGTATGTAGACATAACAGCCTGACGTACAGAACACTGTGTCCTTGCATTCCTTCTATCATACCCAAACTGCAAAGAACTGCACAGACTCTGGCATCGTGCACATGGGAGGTCAACATAACATTCATTTAAACTCAGTTTTCACCATTATCAGACATGAAGAGCGCCTTTCACATAATATTACACCTGATTTATACACGATTCATAATTGATTCCATATCATTTCTACAATTTCCTCCACAGATACTTTTATTGTGATGTTATAACATTATTTTTGAGACTCCCTGTTCTTTTGAGAAAGATTGCAATCCATCTAGTATAAATGTCAAATTGTCCTGTTAAGTTGACAAGCTAGAACATGATTTATCAATGTCAAGGGAAAAAGTATAGTACATACAAATAATTTTGCAATTCTTAGCAGACTTTTAGATCCTCTTCAGTTCAGATAAACCTAATGAAACTGGGCTTGCTGAGGCAGGATTCAGTCTTACACTGGATGTGCTGCTCTACTCTTTTTACATTTCTGGTGTATTCCTGAGAATCTTCTTCCTTCTGGTGACTGCGAGTGAGGTGAAAAACTTATGGTTATAGAGTTACTCACCTCAATAATTCAGTAGGAGGCTCACTGAACATCCTGTACATGATAATGGGTAGATAAGACCTGTGAAGGAACTAATGTGCCGTTTATCGCAGCCTGACTACAACAGCATCTGACAGACCTAATGGCCCTGTAGTGTCTAGAGAGGTGGACACACTGCGTGGCTTCTACAGGCGGAAGTGGGCTGTAAGCGAAGCAAGTCGAGTCATACAGAATTCTGATGATCTACCCCAGATTGGTTAAAAGACAGTTGTTTGATTTCATAAAGCTCCTCTGATGATTAACTGTGCATTCGTAGGCTATAAACTAACATTTAAATAAAAAGCCATTCGTGCCTTTCATGGCTATCAGAAACTCTTCTCACTAAAATGTGTAATCAATTCGAAGACTAACAACTTAAACTTAACATTAGCTTTCTAGCTAACGTTTGACCAGCTAATAAGTTAGCTAATGCTAGCTCTTTCTGAGTTTTGTAGTGATGGAAAAAGTTGGATGTTGTGGTGATTTTATGCTGCAGACTGCATACTGCTGTTCCCTAATTTCTACCGCCATCGTACAACATAATTCTTGAATCCATATATTATTATTTTTGGACTAGACCCATCCATAGCTGCATCCTGAGATCTTGTCTACTGCCTAGGTTGCCAGGTTTGCGTGTTTTGCACTAGAAACAACCAAATTATGTTCCAAAAACAAAACATTACTTCTCAATATGTACAAAAATGGAAATTTTTAAATTGAAAACTGAAGTATTTTCAATTCATCTGTCTCAGGTACACAGTAAGTCAAGCCTCAAGTCGTGAATACCAAGTCAAGGTCAAGTTGAGTCTTTTAGCAGTTTTAGCCAAGCAAATCTCAAATCTGTGACCTAAGTCTGACTTGAATCAAGTCTATGACTCCAGTCGCCTACCTCTACATGCCTGTGATCAACATGTGGAGCTGTTGTTGTATACCAGTTTGGACCACTGGTGCTGGTGAATAATTTTACTGTCTTCAGGCCTGTAAAATGTATTAATTAAAAATATCTGAGAAGCATTTACCTTTGGGTGAAATGGCCACAGCCTGTAAACATGAGATGATTTAAGGAACAGGAGAAACATGAATTTTCAACCTTAGCTGGACGCGTGTGTGGCTGTATGTTTGACTTTGTATGTAAGCACATTGACAGAGGGCTACAGCTGAAGTACAGTTATAAACTAACAAAAACACACAGTATCATGCAGCTAGAAATTTCTTACAGCACATTTGTCCTGTCAGAAGCACAGCGTCCTAAATGACACATTCATGAGTATTGATATTAGTTCTTATCCAGAAGGTTTACTGTTTATCCAGCTATGGTTCAATAGAAGCCATTTGTTTATGAAAGGTGAAATGATGCCTTAATCAATATTTATGAGTGAAATGGGCATAATGGCATTATAAACCAGAAGCATTGCTACTGACACTTTTATGCCCATGCCAGATGTACCTTGTATTTGTCTGTGTACATGTGCACGCCCACACGCTACACACACACAGTGACCCACTGTGCTCTCTACACAGTGGGCTATGTTCCCAAAGCCACGTGCTACAGAGATTCTCAGGTGGCTGTCATGAGACGCAGTGTTTTTCTGAGCGGATCCACACAGTGTGATTGTCCCACACGCTGCAGAGATGAGTCTAAGGCTCGTGTAAAATCGATGCTAAAATGCAGCTGCTGTACAAATCCTGCTTTTTCCATTTTATAGCTGCAATTACAGCAGCTTCTTTGAAAATGCAAAGATTCAGCTCTGAATGTATTTGAAAGGTTTAAAAATGTCTCACTTACCTCTATGGTATCTTTACGTGCAGATAGTTTGGACTTTTTCAGTGAGAACAGCTGCAGCTGGGAATGAGGATGATGAGAGGCGTGAGGGTGAACTAGCGGTTAAGAGGCAGCAGTATCTCTGTCGAGCTGAAGGGAACTGTGGAGTTCAGTGACAGTTCTCTGTGAGCTGTGAACAACACCTTCGAGATCACAAGTAGCCGTTTGATCCATTGCTAATGAAAGTACTGATTATACAGCAGCAGCTTTATGTTCATGAAAGTACTGATTATACAGCAGCAGCAGCAGCTTTATGTTGTTATCATGAGTCTGACAAACAGGTGTGTTGAAATGTCTGTTTACTTAAATGAATCTTGCTTTACTGTGCTATTGTTTCATGTTGTTAAATGCAATGGGAAACTCGGCAAAGAGGTGTAAGTGTTCAGAATCAGTCACTGTTTTCCTCGGGTGACAATAGGTGTCAGGCCCAACACTTGTGTTTAGCCCAGTTCTCCTCCTGTCGATGTGGTTTAACCATTTGTGAAACTTGGTTTTTACAGATTTTTTCACTTCACTTTGTTTCACACTTATTCTAAAATGTAATTTTGCCATTTTTAATACGAACATTTGAAGGTTAGACTTCAGCAGTTTGAAGGAGGCTTCATGCTGTGTAGTTTATTGTATGAACCCACCTTAGAAAATTCTCTTTGAGCTGATGTACATTTACATGAAACTGTTCTTTTCTCACAGGAGAACCACTGTCTACGGATTAAGATCCTTGGGGACTGCTACTACTGCGTGTCTGGGCTGCCAGAGGCGAGGGCTGACCATGCCCACTGCTGTGTGGAGATGGGTTTGGACATGATAGAGGCCATCTCGTAAGTTGTCCTGAGGGTTGACAAGGGTGTCACTAGTTAACATGTGATGTGAATGGATAAATAATGATGAAGCTCACTGTGCTGTAGTAGGACAATGTGTGGGAATGATCTGACAGCTTTACTTGTTGAAGGGATGGATGTGAAATGTGTGTTATTCCCTAGAGCCTCATGTTTCTAAGCTGTCTGAGCTGATCTGACCTACTCTGCTCTGTCAGCATTAGCCCTTCTCTCAGTTCATCATGTGTCCTACAGTTAGAGAGGGATCACGGCGCCAAGCAGCCAAAATGTGTCGGCAAAGATGGCAAAACAAAGGTTTTGTGTGATGTTTGTTGCAGGCTGGTTCGGGAGGTGACCGGGGTGAATGTGAACATGCGTGTGGGCATCCACAGTGGCAGGGTGCACTGCGGGGTGCTGGGACTCAGGAAGTGGCAGTTTGATGTCTGGTCCAATGACGTCACATTAGCCAATCAGATGGAGGCTGGGGGCAAAGCTGGGTATGTCTCTTCAGTTATAGTCAGGTCAAGAGAACCACTCTGTTTTGCTAAAACTGTACAAACAGTATGTGAATAGTGAACATTTATGTGTTTTGTACCATTTCAGACGTATCCACATCACTAAGGCCACTCTGAACTATCTGAACGGGGACTATGATGTGGAGCCGGGTACAGGGGGAGAAAGAAACGTCTACCTGAAGAAGCACAGCATAGAAACCTACCTCATTGTGGGCTGCAGTCAGAAAAGGGTACAGTCGTCACTGTTATCTTACAATGTGAAGGCCAAAGTGTACACATCAGAATTGACAGTATATTACTCTAGGTTTTTTTTTTCTATATATAATTAAACCTGCATGTTAACCACAATAACATAGTCCTGACAAAAATATGTGGCTTTACATCTGGTGGATGTTCATCTTTCATCTTGACCCTGCCTTTGTCTGTCTGCTGTTTGGTGCTGCAGCTGGTTTAACTGAGTTTTTGGCTGTTGTGACTGAGACTTAACTGTAAAAGCAAAGCAATGAATTAAAAGGAGATTTAAAAAACAACAACAACGCAGTGGTGTTATCAGTATGACACCTTTAAAAGTGATTTGTTTTAGGTTCAATCTAAATCACTGAACTGATGAAGAAGCCTGTGTTCCTCATGAGCTCCAGTTTGTTTCTGACTGCACCACTTGAATCAGATGTCTCTGTCCTCTAGAAGTATCTGTGACTATAGATAGCCTGTCATGTGATGTGATATCCTCCTCTCAGTTTGCTCTACGTGCTGACAGAGACAGAAGGAAGAGGGCACAGTCTGATTATTTGGTTTGTTTTGAACATATCTCCTTAGAGCCAGTATGTACAGTACTTCTACAATCAGATCTGTACTTACAGGTTGTGTTCCCAGAATCCATCTTTCCAACACAATGCCACAAGCAGAAATGGATTTTTGCACAGGTTTATGAGCATGAAGATTGTTTATGCTGCATTTTCTACCAAAACTATGCAGTTGATGATGACTTCTACTGTGGTCAGGTTGTGTTGCTGGGAAAAACAGGATATTCCTGAGACATCAGGAGCAACAAGACCAAGTACTGTAAGGCTTTTGTAAGGTGAAGGCGACGGTCTACACAATCCATCTGTGTTTACTATAATATCACATGACCCAAATTGCTAAAAGCCATTTTTCTTCTTACCTTCTTTGTACGGCTGCTTCTTCACTGAAGCTACTGTATGATGCCGATCCAGATGTTGTCAGTGGTGGACCCCATGACAACAGAAGAAGTCAGCTGATCCAGTTTGAGACCCTGTTAACGATTTAATCTTATTCCATCAAAGCCCAGCTCAGACGTGCACAGCACAGCCTAAAGACTGTTTTTCTAGAAAGGCTATAATCCTGATGTTAAAGAGGAACGTTTGTCATGTGGACTAATTGTTGGAAGAACCACACAAGAGAAAGTCGTTTCGTCTGTTATAGTTTATCTTTTGCTTGTTTGTCAACATGTGATGAATATATTTCTCACAGGGAAACAAGTTTCTGTATATTTATCTCTTGCAGAAAGAGGAGAAGGCGTTGATAGCCAAAATGAACCAACAGAGGACCAACTCTGTCACCCACAACAGCGGCCACTGGACTGACCGTCCATTCTACAACCATCTGGGTGGAAACCAGGTCTCCAAGGAGATGAAGAGAATGGTGAGGACAATTTAAAATGCGTCCTGTCTGCTTTGTAACACTGCTGTTATTGGATGCCACAGACAGGTGACACTCGTCTCAACCCTCATTTGGTAACAAAGTTAACACATAGTTAATACCCACAATCCTTTGATCCTGATAACCAGCAGCGATGACCCTTCATGGTGCACTCCACTTCTCACGCATCACCTTGGCTCAGAGAGGCTCTCAGCAGCACTCAGAGACAACGGTAGCATGTAGGTGGTCGCCACAAAGCGGGCACCACAGCTGCCACCATCTTCAACCTCCCAGAGGCCGAGTTTGATTTGGAGGAAAACCTAAAATGTAGCCGCAGCAGAACAACCTGATCATTTATGACCTGTAGCTCGACCTGCTGAGCCAACCCTGCAAACAGGGACTCGCTCAGTTTATGGGTCCATCCACATCTAAAACACATGCACACACTCGCACACATTAGTTTTCTGTGTGTATATATAAAACCACTCCACCCACTCAGTGAATCTATTACAGGGAGGAAGACAAAGAGGCCCAGGCCATATGCACAGTTTTGTTGAAGTTTACATTGCTGCTCAACAAAACCAACTGTTTTCCATCAGCTCTCCAGCTCACGACTGGAGAACTACATATTTATAACAGATGTGGGCAGAGAGCGATGTCGCTGTCGAGCTGCAATATGGGAATCGTAGGATCCAGCAGACTCGACCTGGGGACTAAAAGTCTGCACCAATCTTAACCATTGTTTTCTCATCAATCCCATAACGTTATAGTTGTAAAATCCTAAATAACTGACCCCTTTAATGGTTGGTGTGAGAATATTTGTGACTTGGAGGGTGAAGGGAGGTTTGTTTGGATAAAAGCTGTGTTATGAATACTAGAATACGCATAGTGTACATATAAAGCTTGGCGGTGTGTACATTTCAAACTGTACGAGCCCCATTTGGAGGATAAAGTACAGGCCGGTCATTTTAAATGATATGTACTTGAATGGATCGATTGATTATACAAAGGATAAGAGAAGTGATGGTTACATGATAGGCACACAGTTAAATACTGCATTACATAACCTACAAACCTTTCTTTGTGCTTGTCACTAACGTTATTCTGAAGGCACGCTGCGTCTCTTGCTTCAGTTTCCACTTAGAGTTGTTTTTGACTGTGTGCTCATTTAGACAATCCACGTGCATCAGGGATTTTTTTTATGATTATTATTTTTGACCCACCCTGCTACAGAGCCCCTTATGGGTCAGAAATAGTCCCGTTTGGAATAAATGAAACAAGTGGGTAATTGGCACTAACAACCAATATGACTGAACAGACAAAGGAGACAGTGCCACCTACTGAAACTCCATCCACACTAACAGAAGCCCGTGAAAAGAAAGTGATGCCAAACCTATTTACAGCTGACCTTTCTGACAGTAAAAGCAGAAGCACTACAGCTAAGAACAAAAGAACTGCTGGCGTATCTACTGTCGTCGTGGATGACTACATTCAATTACTGTCCTGACATCATTTCTTTTGCCTGGTATCTGAGCAGTGTGTCACCAAAGCGTCTGTGTGCTCTTCATGCCCTGGCTCACAGAGCCGTCACTTTGCAGAGACACTAGCACTTTTGACATCAGCTCCATTTGCCACAGTTCTTCATTCTCAGCCTCTGTTTCACTCTCTGCCTCTTTATCTCTGCACTGGTCATTAATCACTCTCTGAGGATAAAGCAAGTTGTGGACGGTGCAGGATCGAAGACACACAGAGGGCATGAGAGAGATTCTTTATACAACCGGCAGGGAGGGAGCAGTGCTGAGGATGGACGTTTCCATTTGTTCTGTCTGTCCAGAAACGGGGCTGAGCAGCGGACTGTGAATGACTTATGAGGCATCCAAGACTTTACACACGTCCTTCCCTTTTCCACTGTTGATTCAACTGCTTTCATGATGTTGACAAGCTGAGAAGAACCAGTGGAACAAGCAGGAGTGCCAGGCCAGCGTGTTAGTTTCTGCTTCGTTCAGTTTGTTCTTTCAGCACTGACATTAACGCGTCTGTCCACAAGATGTAGCAAGAGAGATACAGTAACTCACTTCTCTGGAATATGCTGTAGTTCGATGTGGACATGGATGGATGACTGGCCACGAGCCCAAGGGCTTCAAATGTTCATCTCAAACATTTATTTTTAGAACAGCTACGAGTCTTGGTCACATACTGTATATTAACACACTGTACAGTGACACTAGTAAACCGATGTATATATCAGATGAGCCTTTATAAGCTTTTTGAGGGTTTGATAGAACAGTTTGTACTGTAGTCTGTTGTATTTAGTAGAATCTTTGTGTCAGTGTGGATCTGTTATGGCAGGAGACAGTCTGAACTAAATGCTGAAGTTTAGCAGCTGATGATTATTTAATTTGAATAACTGATTCATCTTATCATAAGTCAAAAAATGCAGGAAGATGATAACCTGCACTCACCTTTGCTAACCAACTGAAAGAGTAATGTAAGACGGGCTTCAGCTCTGTGTTTCTGTTAGAAGCTCACAAGTTTCTTTTCCATTATGAAGCTTTGGGACAAAAGTCAAAATAACAAGTGGAACTTATTCATGTATGTCAGGAACCAGAAAACTGACTGTGGGAACACTACAAGTGATCTTTTTTTAACTAACTGGTTTTATTTTTGCTCTTTTTCTGTTCTCTTTTCCGTCTTGCAGGGCTTTGAAGACCCCAAGGACAAGTGAGTAGTGTTTGTGTACTGACATTATTACAGTACGTCCTCCCTCTCATCCTGCCAGTAGTTGTCTCATGACATGAATCAGCACTTGTTGTTGGTTTCTCTTATACTAGGCAGTGATCTTGAAAAAAAGAAATGAAAAGGAAAACTCAGTAGGATAGAATAGAAACCTTTGTCATTACACTAATGTGCAGTGACATTTACACTGCACAGCGCTCACGTAGACAGAAGACAACAAAACAGACCATTAAATCTAAAAACCAGAAAATCAATAACAAACTGCAAATATCAGTCTTAAATCAGATCACTGTAAACTGTCTGAATACGCTCACGGGATCCGATGACACCTCTGTTCTCTCTTAAACCCATTTGCTGTGAGCTTATGTTGTGGGCTCACGTACTGTTTCCACCCTGTGGTTCAAAAAACAGTGGAAAACTCATTAAGATCAGCAGCTGTGAGGTGGTACCACAGAGCTAATGTTATAGCTGCTTATGGCTGAGGTAAACACACATTAGACACTTGACCCATTAGACCAATTTGCTGGCAAGTATAAATAAAGCACAGATGGGAACATTAAAGCGTCGTGCACCTGGTTAGCAAGCACCTAGTTGATGCCATAAGGCAGGGGTTCCTTTGTAACTTTTGATTGTTAAAAGATTTCTGAGGACCACCTTGTCAAATAAATGAGGAGAAACTAAATAATATATTCAGTGTATGTATTTACTGGTTTTACTGGCTCCCATGTCAGTTTTTCATAAAAAAAAACAAAAAAAACTGCCATTTCTGTGTCACATCATCTGAGGAAACGTGGACTTGCTAGCTTGCTAGCTAACAGCAGCAGAACACATTTGTCACTTCCTGGTGTTGTGAAACATAACTGATCAATGAAATTATGCATTTTAATTGGATGTTTTTTAATTTATGTCAATTAAATTATGTCACATTTAGTAAATACCTAGGTTAGTAAATTACATAATAATAATAATCTAACCCTTTGGAGTAGCCTACTACTCCGCACCCCACCAGATGGCGCTGTGAGGCTCTCCGCTGGGCTGCCCTGGTTGGGAACGGCTGCTGTAAGGCCTCGTATATAAGTATAATCACCTTTATTGGCCAAGTACATTACACACAAGGAATTTGTTTCCAGTACAGAACCGATGGCAGCCATCTGCGGCGCCAACTCAATCAATGGCTCTAGCCATCGGGGGCAACGGGGGGGTTCAGTGGCACCGAGATTCAAACCTTCAACCTTATGGTTGGAGACGACTGCTCTACCCACTGCACCACTGTCGCCTCTTCCTATATGTGCTGTATTGTAAACAAAGTATATGTTCGCCTTCTGTACATCAATGCATCAGACACCCCAGGGGAAAACAGGGGGTAGACAAACTAATATAACTAGTATAACATAACAAACATTTTAATTTTTGAAGTAATTATTGTAAAAGCCCTGAAAATAATGTTAAGCCCCTTAAATCTCACTAAGACTGACGGGATCCTACATGCACTGAATCTCCTTCTGTACATTTAGCATAAGAAATGTGTCTGTGTTGCTTTGTTTGTGCTCGTTCTTTCTGGTTTGAAGTGGGAGGGGCTCAGCTGGAAAAGCCTGATCAAACACACAGTCCTGATGAAGCAGAGTAATGTTGGTGAATGTGTACCAACTACTAAAAAATAGTGCCTAAGGTTTTTTCTTGTTTTTTACTATTTCATCTAATGTTGATGTGCAAACCCAGATATACAAGTCATGATTGTATATCTGAGGTCATACTGCATAACAGTTTCTAACTGGCTGCTGCTCAAATGAATAAGAGCCACTTGTCTAGCGGTTTTTGTCACTGTGATAAAGTTCTTTCAGATTTTAAGTCCTTTTTCTGAAGGTGTTTTTCATCTTGTCTAACTTCAAAGATATATTTCTGCTGTCAGATTTCACAAACTGGTGCAGTGACAACTGTACAGTGTAAGAAACACAGAGGTGTTCAATCCAAAGGCTGTCAGTGTTCAAAGAAACGCAGTCACTTTGGAAAAGGTTGTCCTTTTCTCCTCCCAAACTGTTCTCTATCTGTACGTGAGCTCTGCATCACACTGAGCGGAGCGCCCACGCTGACGGCCTCCGCTGACGGCCTCCGCTCCAGGCCACAGCACCAACGCTGCTTCTTATGCAGACTGACAGCTTTTGGAGTTGAGAGGAAGCTCGTGCTGTCTGTATCATACACTGAATGATAACCATGACATCAGATAGGTAGGCTGCTTCAGGGCTGAAGAAATGCCTAGTATACTGCTACAGAAGGTTTTCTTTGCCACTACATTAACATCTTAACATCTACAGTAGAATTAAGACTCATTAATGGGCATCCTAGTGCATCAGGATTAAGATAACAACTATGTATCACAGTGTCTCTGGTTCGAGTCTGGGCATTTGTTGAATCTATCTCCCCCTATTTCCTCCACTTTCTACATTAGAGGCAAAACATATTTAAACAGTAAAGGGTTATTTATCTATAAGGAGTCTTGATTTTTTCATCAGACTGTTTTTATTCTTCAAGTAATTCCCCAAACACCCTGTGTACTAAGGTGACTTGTGGGTTTGTATTATAACCTGTGTCTGTACAATTCTTACATCTTTGAAATATTTTTTGTTTGTCAAAAACTTAGATGATGGTGAAAAATAGATGCATGTTCTTTGCTGTTTGCTCCTTTGCCTGGCATACAGTGAATTATGAATTAAAAACCGCACTGTCTGGTCAGTCTTCCTTAAATTAATGTATTTATTCTGGGCCCAGGAAACTGACTCTACATCTTGGAATCAGCTGAGGAATTATTACACAAGACACAGTGATTTAACAGGGATTCAGCAATTATTCATATCCAGTTCACTAGATCCTACTGCAATAGGTTGTTAGTTGTGTGAATATAGAGCAGTTATGGATGAGTTCTGTCTAATTTGTTGTTGTTGTTGTTGTTGTTGTGTCCCTACCTTGTGTACTGTTCCAGGTGTTTATTTTTTTAGATGACACTGGGTGAAAAAGGTTTAGCTGAACTAAAATCTAAATGGCCTTTTCAGTTGTCCTGAGATATAAATGTCATCTGTTCTCATCTTGTTTTATTCAGACATTTCATTTTTAGAAACACACAGGAAAACCTAAACCCAGAGGACGAGGTGGACGAATTCCTGGGCCGGGCCATTGACGCGCGCAGCATCGACCGTCTGCGATCCGAACACGTCAAGAAGTTCCTGCTCACCTTCAGAGAGCCTGACCTGGAGAAAAAGGTCAGGGCGCATACACACAAACACATAGCGACACACACTGCCAATATAGCAGCAAATAATTGGCTGTGACAAGCAATGTTCTTGGTGCAAAAAGCTCTCTCATGCTCTCGTTTTCTGTCTCCTGAGGAAGTCCGTCAAAACTAAGTATAACAGAAAAGGAAGAGCTGGAGCTTAAATGGGAAAGAGATGGAAAAAGGATGTAAGCAGGTTCAGACAGTGAAGGACAGCTGAGAGGAAAGTTTAGAGGGTTTGGGTTGTGTCAAACAAGTTTTGGGAAAAGAGAACAATTGTCTTGTTTTTAAAGTTTCCTGCTAGTCGGATAAATGGGACCTTTTAAAATATTCACACTCTTGTCTCATTTGTTTTTTTTATTGTTCTGGGATTTAACCACTTCAGAACGTGAGACAGAAACATTGTTGTCGCTACTTTCAAGTCAAATCGTGTCTTAACTATAAGACAGAGGATTAAGGCCACTGTTCCCAGATTTGGATTTCAACCATCAAGACATTTTACAAGAAAAGACAAAACTCAAGAACTACAGCAGAGTCAGGAGGTGACATTTACACTATATATTGTGTGAAAGTACTGATTCCAGAACACAAAGCTTGTCTCCGAAGTAACTAAATCACATTTTTTAAATACCTGTTTAAATGTTTTTGGATCGATTGTTGCCTCCTTTTAGTTTTCAAAGGGACAGAATGTAAGAAAAGTCTGTTGTCAGGTGTTGACATACCGTTTCCTTCTCCTCTTCAGTACTCCAAACAGGTCGACTCCAGGTTTGGAGCTTACGTGGCCTGCGCCTCCCTCGTCTTTCTCTTCATCTGCTTCATCCAGATTCTAATTGTGCCACAGTGAGTCACCACTGAAATACTACACCGATGACCCAAGGATATGTTAATACATTTCCCCCTCACTTAAATATGCCCCCATTACCAACTCAAATGATGGTGATTTGGCTCCGCTCAGACATTACTGTCACTTTGCCAACAGCAGGCTCAGAAGAGACAGATCACAGGTCATCATCACAGATCCAAAAGTCATTTCTGAAGCCTAAAGGAAAATGTAGTCTTTCATTAATTCAACTAGGAAATGATGCTCCTTGTAACTAGTGTAAAAATGGCTGCAACAACAGCCTTGATAAATTATGTATTTTAGGATGATGATGACTTCTTCTGTGGCCGGTCTTTACGAATGTTCTTGTTTGTCTGTAATCTTTGGAGCCTCCTGCACTTTGCAGCTTTAGTCCTTTAGTCCTTACAGTATCTCCTGCAGGTTCACGAGGGATAAAGGAGGATATCAAATCAAAATCAGTGCAATTGCAGCAAGCAGCAGCTGGATTCAGACAGCTCTGGCAGATGTTGTCATGAAGTGATCCCTCCTCTTTTTTCTCTCTCCTGCCCTCAGACTTTTCTCCGTGCCCATCCCTCGGTATTGATTTTCTTTAGTCTGCC